ATCAAAATAAACCTAACAGTCCAGACCTCCACCAACACCAGACCGGGTACCAGCAGCCTAGGGTGTCAGAGAACATCTGCCACTCAGTGCAAACCAAGGCAAGAGGGAAGGGAATTCCCACCATATCACAAAGCCATGGGCCAGGAAGGGCAGAAGCAGATGGGCAGATGGCATAGTGGTTAAACACACAGGTTCTAGAGCCAGAATGTCTAGGTTCAAATCCCTGTCACAAACTGGTTGTGTGCCCTTGACAAATTACCCCTCTGGACTCCAGTTTCCTCATCATTTCTTTAAAAAAAAAAAAAAGGTTATAAAAAGAATTTATTTCACAGGATTGTGGTAGAATTAAGTGAGATAATGTGTAAATAGCACAGCAAGACTCCTGGTATGTAATAAGTGCTCGATACATGCTGGCTATCTTTATTATCTGATATAAATGTCTCCAGAGCAATCCCAGCCCTCAGTCTTAGAAGGCATAAATCTCTCAGAGAGCCCTTCAGCCAGCTCCTAGGACCAAACTCCTCCACAGCCCAGGCCTGTGGGCCATCTCACCCAGTACCCACCATGGAGGGAGGACCCAACACCCCGTGCTGGCAGTGAGAAAATCCAGGAACTTCCTGGCATTAGCAGCATAGTTCTCCAACCCCTCACACTCAGGTTGGTGCAGGAAGGCCCAAGATTTCCTCTTCTGTTCCATTCTCCCTGAATCTACCTTCCATCGATCCTCTGTCGTCCTTTCTGAGTACAGATTCCACAGGCTCACTCCATTACTGAGCTGTCATTTATTCAACAAACATTTACTGAACAACTACTACATACCAAACATTGTCCAAGATTATAATGGTGCCCACAATCTAGTGAGAGGGACAGACAAGTAGAGGCAGACACAATACAATTTTATGTATAAATAAGTACATGTGCTCCAGAAACACACAGGAAGGCACCTAAAAATTGACATTAAGAAGTATCATGAGGAGCTGGCCAGCTAGAGCACCCAGCTTTGGGTTAGGGGGTGGGGGGTGCACAGAGATTATTGAAAGATGAGGTTCGAGAAGTAAGCAAGAGCCTTGAGGCCTCATTAAACAGCATGACTTTGCTTTGAGGGCAAGAGGAAGCCTTCAAAGTGTTTTGTAAGCATGTGACATAATTTGTTCTAGTTAGGAGAATGTCATGGGGGTAAAACTGGAGTCAGAGAGACGACTTAGAAGACTTCTGTAATCCAAGAAGAATATGGTGACCTGAGGGGAACGCGGGTGGCTCAGTTGGTTGAGCGTCCAACTCTTGGTTTCGGCTCAGGTTGTGATCTCAGGGTCGTGGGATAGAGCCCCGTGTCAGGCCCAGGCTCAGCAGAGAGTCTGTTTGAGATTCTCTCCTTCTCCCTCTGCCCCTCCCCCTGCTTGTACTCTTGCTTCCCCTCTCAAATAAATAAATAAATCTTAAAAAAAAAAAGCACCTGGTGACCTGAACTAGGGCAGCCGTAGCAGCGATGGCAAGAAGACAAAGATTTTGAGAAACCTCTGGCAGGAAGAATCAAAAAGATTTGGCAATTAATTGGTTGTGGCTAGAGAAAAGCAATCAAGGATGGTTCTCGGGTTTCTGACAGAACTACCAGATAGTGGTTCCAGTCACAACTTGAGAGCAAGCTGGAGGACCAGGTGTTGGGAGAAAGAGGACACCTGAGCTTTAAGGGGCCTGTGGCATCCAGATGGAGATACAGAAATAGGCAGTTGGATGTGAAAGCTTGGGGTTCAGCTGGCAGATAAAGCAGACTGCTTTTCTCCAGCAGGATCTCTGCTGCCATGTCAAAGATGAAACCCCTCTATAGAGACATTCCCTGCCTGGGCAGGCAGAGAAGAGAGAGAACCCTAAACGCCATGAAGAGGTTCAAGAACCATGAGGTAAGGCAAAGGAAAGGTAGGTCAGGTAGGGGAGGCAAGCTGACCACGGGCCAAAGCCATACAAATGACATTTCTTAAACAAGTTGAGAAGGAAAATTAAATCTGTGCCCACTAAATTAAAACCCACCTCGGCAGGATCTGTGACTACGGCATCAAAGCCCACAGAGTATCAACTCATCTGGCTTTGACAAAAGATGGACACAAAATGATTCTTTCAGGACCGAGCAGATTTCTTTTCTCCAGTGGGATTTCCGCTGCCACTTCAGTTCCCATTTCTCAGTGCCTCACTAATCAGGCCCTCTCCAACAAAAGTGATGGGAAGCTGGCTGGGGGTGGGTGTTGGGAGAGAGGGGAAGGGCAGCAACGAGAAGGAGCCGTGGCTCTGGGAAACTAGAGTGGGAAATGAAAATATTTGCTGAATTCTTTAGACTTAGTTAAATCTGAAAATGGATGTCAAAATAAGAAGTAAACCCCATACTAACAAGTTGCGGATGTCAATTTAACACCACCCTTGTCAGGCTCCTCAGCAGCCTTTACCAGACGCATAAAAAGGTGATGGCTCTGATGAGAGCCATCTGACGAGAGATTCCAGGAACACCGATAAGCTGTGCACTGTCACGAAGCACTACTTAGGTTTCCTCTCTGGCTGTTTTTATTTTGTTACACATTTAATTAAGAGCCTTCCCAGCAGTTATGCAGACTCCTGCTTCTAAAAGGCAGCCACAAAGCTCTCCTCTCCCCAGCCCCTGCTACCTGACATCTGCTTCCCTCCTGCATATTCTTTTTCAGATCTTCACTGGTCTTTTCGATGCAAACCCAAACCAGCCTACCAAAGTCTGCCCAACCCATCTCTTTTAGAAGCAACATGGTCTTAGAATTCAAGTCTGTCTAGCTAGGAGTCTACCAATTTGGGTCTCGGTTTCAAATTCTGTCTTGTTTTGTTTTTTCCATCTATAAAAGGGAGCTATCACCTTCTACCAGGGAAGATAATTAGGAGGACGGAATAAAATATGGTACATGCTCATTAAAATTTGGTTTCAAGGTGCCTGGGTGGTGCCAACTGGCTAAGCGTCCGACTCTTGGTTTTGCCTCAGGTCATGATCTCAGGGTCCCGGGATGGAGCCCCATCTCTGGCTCCAAGTTCAGTGTGGAGTCTGCTTGAGATTCTCTCTTTCCCTCTCCCTTTGCACCCCCCCCCCAGCTTATGCTGTCTCTCTCTCTCTCTAAAATAAATCTTTAAAAAAATTTTGTTTTTTTTTCTATATGTTTGGATATAGACCCAATCCCTCTTCTTGATTACATTGGTTCTTATGAAGATGCAAAGCAGCCTCCTGAGTCACCAAAATCTGTCCCAGGCCCACTGGGCCAAAATGGTGCCATAGGCCAGAATGGGCCAGACCCAAAGACAACACCCTCTGAAATTCCCTCTTTGTCTCATGGAGAAACCAACTTAGGAGGTCTGGCCAGAGAGCCCCCACTCGTACGCACAGGGAAGTTTTCGTATACACACATATGCACATGCCTTCCCTAGTTAATGCAGGAGATTCTGAAATGTGGGTGTCTGGGATATGAACACATCAAAGAGTGAAATCCACTTGGAAGAGTGGGAGTCCTGGGAGGCTATCTGGAGAAACTGCGCCTCTGGACTGGGCCACATGAGCCACAGACACTGGGTATCAGCCTGAACCCCAAACAGCTTCTCTTATGCTATGTACCTCCACCTCAATCCCTTCTCTGCTTCAAGTACTCAGAGCTGCCCAGGATGCCATAAATAAGAGCAACAGCCTTCTTCCTCCTCACCTTCTCTGTGGAACCCTCCCCTGATTCATATCTGCTTCCAGATCCAGCCTCTGTAATTTCCCTGACACATGAGTGTCATCTGGGAACACGGAGATCCTCTGGAGCTCTGGGAGTCCTGTGCGCAACCTAGAGTATGCAGTCAGTGTGTGTACACGACCTGAGGGATGTGTGGGTGTTTATATGATCTGGACTTGTTCCTCCTGTCTCACCTAGGGAGCTGGTATCCAGTAGTAGGCTTGACATCCACCTGAGTGCGTAACTTCACCTCAATACCCAGCATCCAAAAGGCATAAAAAAGGACCTTGGTGAGAAGATAATGCCTAATTTGGTAGGAAATGTCACTCCAGAGCCACTATTCCTCACCTCCGACCAATACCCCACCTATGCACGAAAGTGTACACGCACGCGCGCATGCACACACACACACAGAATGCTTGCAGCTGCCTTCGGTCACAAAGAACACAGAGGTATTGATTCTATCAATCCTCAGCAAACAGTGCCCCCACCACCTCCACCCCGTTTTAGCTCCCTGGGGGCTGTCTGAAGCCAGGTATCCATGAGGATAGACAAGAGGCAAAAGTGTCAACCTAGCAAAGGAACCAGTTCTGTCTTCCATACCCAGGGAAGGACCCAGAGACAAAGGAGAAAAAGCAGTGGGGACAAAGGAGGCTGGGGAATTGGACAGCTCCCTAGAAGCAGCCTTCTCTCATCCCACCACTGGGCCTGCAGCTGAATCATCAGGGCCTCGTACCCCAGATAAAAGGGTAGCACAGCAGAATGGTTAAGAGACAGGACCCTGGAGCCAGGCTGCCTGGGTTTGAATCCTGGCTCTGTGTGTCTTAGGCAAGTTACTTAACCTCTCTGTGCCTTAACTCTCTTATCTATAAAACAGGAATAAAAGTACCAAGGTTTATTAAACGAGTTACTATTTCTAAAGCATTAAGGGTAGTAAACACTATATACTTGTTAAAAAAAAAAAAAAAAGATCTTCTTTTAACTCCTTCCTTCCAGGGCAATAACATGCAGCCCCACAACTGGAAGGACTGTCCTGAGCAGTGGGACCTGGCAAAGGCAGGAAGGCCCTGACAACAGCCGTCCCGGTAGGGTCCTTGACAGGTCTACTCCCAGCTCCAGAGGCAGAAGGCAGGGTTCCCAGTCCTCTTTTCACCTTGGCAGCCCCAAAGATCCAGGGACTCCCTGACTCAGCTGCCCTGTAGGCTGGGACATGGAAGCCTGCGAAAGGCGACACCTGGTCCCATAGCTTCCAAGCCCTGCCAGCAAAGCAGTGCTTCTCATACTCACATGACTTTCAAGTCCCAGTCTCCACAGGTGACAAAAATTGACTTGACGTTTGGATCTAAGAGGCCTTCTTTCGCCATCCACTCATCGACCCTCTGAAAAGTACACAACAAGAACAGATGAGATTTTCCTTTCTTTTTTTTTCTTCCCAAGTCTGTGAAGAGCCACACCAGTGAAACACAGATAAGCTGCTTGTAATCGGAGCAGGAGAAAACCGTAATCTTATCCAGCCATGGCTCCGCTCTGGGCTCTCAGCCTTGGCTCAGGGCTATGGGGGCACCAGGAGGATGATCCCTGCAGGAAGATCCACAAACCCGAATGAGCGGGGGGAGGGAGCCCCTCCGCTGCCCCCCTGCCCCACTGCCTGGCAGCCCACCCCAGACGGGATAAGGACACATCCTGGTAAGTCGGTCCTCAAAAGCAAAGCCTAGCACAGACACAGGATGCCCTGGGCCATGAGAACAGGCTGGAAGGAGGCTCCAAGCAGGAACTCCAATCCACAGGTTCATTCATTCCCTTATTCATTTCACCCTCCCACCAAAGGTTTATTAACCAAATTTATGAATTTGGTTGTTCCCGAAATGACAGTGAAGTTAATCTTCACTGTGAGTCTAGCAGAAAAAGCTCCCTTGCTGGGATAGAACCCCACCTTGATCCCTGGGGTGGCACTGCCTGCTTCAGTCACTGAAAGCTCATAAACTGGCCCAGGCTTTATGTTTCTCCTCTCCTGGTTGAGGACTCAAATTCAAATTCAGTGGACTCTTTTGAAGGCTGAGCTCAATTCCTAGACAGGGACAAAAACTGCTCCTAAACATACTTTAAGTTTTCTTTCCCTTCATCCCTTTGATCAGGTTTATTATTTGCACTCACAGTGGAAGTACAAATACTAAAATCAGTATATAATGAGAGAATTATCAGAAGGCATTCCTGAAGCATTGCCTATTTTTCAGAAGATCCCAGGCATGGGCTGAGAGTACAGCAGATGACCACCACGCCACTCACAGAGAAGGATTAGCTTTTAAAGGCTACGTCGCAAAGTAGCCAGAAATGCAGGATTGAAAGTCAAACACATCTGGGTTCTAACCTTGGCTCTTCCATATCCTGGCTGTGTCACTGATAGGAAGTCATTTAAAAGTCATTTAACCTCTCTGAACTTCAGTTTCCTTCATCTATAAAACGAGGTAGGATGACTAACCTTACGGGGTTGTTTTGAGAATTAAATGTAATAATGTATCAAGTGCCTACCACAAAATAAGAGAGTAGGCTGAGAAGGCGAGAAAGGCAGATCATCATAATACAATATAATAGATGCAGCCCTGGAGAACTGACCAGAATGCTACAGGACCAGGAGGAGGAAGTGACTAGCTCTACCTTTTACAGAAAAAGGAGTCAGAAAGGAAGGCTTCACGAAGACGCCAACCGAGCTAGGGGACTTGGTAGTTGGGTTTCCCAAAAGGATGGAGCAGAGCAAAGGATATCCCAGGCAGAGGCAGAGGCACGATCATTTTATATTTGAGAAGCAATTATATGCTCAACGTCTGCCTCCCCCACCAGACTATAAGCACCATGAAGGCAGGGACTTTTGTTTTATTCACTGTCTAAATCCCTAACTCAGCAGTGTCTTCTCAATAGATACCTGCTGACTGACTGACTGAAACATGAGTAGGGGATAGTGTGACCAATGTCCAGTGTGTAGAAAGGAGGGACAGGAAATGACGCTGGGGGTTAGGTGGGCCAGACTGTGAAGACTCCAGCAGGTAATGGAGAGCCCACTGAAATCGTGAAGTAAGATTACTCCTAGCAGGTGTAGGCTAGCTCCCTGGGACATCTCAGAGATCCTGGAGGCCCAGTCCACACCAAAGCAGTCTTTGAGTAGGGCCAAGGATCCTAGGTCATTCCATGGCTAGAGCAGTCCGACCTCTCAGGAGGTCGGACTGCTCCTTAAGCCAGACTGTGCAGACCCTCTTCACAGTCTGCACACCGGAGAATCCCCCTCAGCCCAAGAGTCTCCCTAGCAAGCTAAATTCAGGACTTTCTACCGCGGAATGGCTTGTCTCCCCAGCCACTATGGCCCAGTTGCACAGAAGGACATGCACACACTCACATTCATGTATCCTTTCCCAAGACTCTGCATAAGAAAAGGAGTAAGGCAAACCTAGGGCTCCCTATGTCATCTAACCCTGCTCCAGCTCACTGGCCTTAAATCCCCAAGGTAAGCGCCCCACCTGCTGGGGGGGGCTCCCCAATGCCCCAACTCCTAAAAAGCGGTCTTGGAAAAGAGAGCAAGACAGGATTGTCAGGAGCCAATGCCCAGCAGGATCTTTCCCATGAGAAGCACTTAATACTCACAGGGGTCCTTGGAAGCTTAGGACCTGGGCCATTCACTCATGCAATAGGTATTTAGTGAGAACCTTCTACTGTAAGCCTGTCCAGAGAGGTGATACATTTGTCCTGTAGTATCACTGTCTTTTTCTGTCCTTTTCCTTCCCTTCTCCGCTTAAGTGGATAAAGAGTTAGAGGAATCACCAAGACAATCCCCAATCAGCTGGGCTGGCCCTCCCAGCTACTGAAGGTCTAGCATGAGTCCTACTTGGACTAAATGAGTGAGGCAAACACCTAGCTGGCCACCTGCTCAGGGCCTTGGTTAGGACAAGAAGTCAGCTTTTTAGCTATATGACCAACTCAGGGCCAATGAGACAAAGTACAGCCCATTCTGGTCTCCTTGCCAGAGACTCCCCATTCAGGCTGATGCCAGGAATCTTCCCTCTTCACCCACAAAGTATGCTCAAGTATCAGAAAGTAGCTTTGTGGATAAGACTCAGAATCCCCTGAGCATTCTGCTCCAGGCTGGCCTGAGGTTAGCAAGAGGAAGCCTCCTGAAGACCATCGCTCCCTGTCAACCAGCACAACTGAGGGGAAAAAAAAATCCCATAAGCTCAATAGCTCTGGTTCAGTGCTGGCCTACAGCAGGCATCTTCCTCCTCAGATCCTGGCCAGCGACATTCCAGGGAATAGCTAGCTGCCTGCCGTCTGGCCTCCCTCAGGGGGCAGGCCCTGGCTGGGACAGAGGAAAGGATGGGTGGGGTCCCCACTTTCTGAGTCTGGTCTTACAGGGAGCAGTCGATGATGAGGGGCCCCCTCAATCATAGGAGTGAATCTCCCCTCAAAAAAAGAGGGTCAGTGAGGCTGGGAGACACCTCAGAACTCATCTTCTCATCTCCCAAACTAGTGTAGGTACCTTAACACTGACCCGACCCAGAGCTTGACCAGAGAACCTAGGCTTGTACACTCCTAGGGACAGGGAGCATACCTGCCACTGGGTGAGCCTAAACCTGACTCCATCCTGAGGAGCCCAGAAATTCAGTCTGCATTTCTCTCTCCCATGAGACAGGGCCTCTTGGCTAAATAAAGAGATCTTCCTGCCTCTCCCTGCTACCACCCAACTTCCTCTAGGCTGATTACCTCCAATGTAGATGTGCCCTGCTATCCCCCCCCACCCCCTCTGCTTCCTCCTGTGCTTTGATAGGGGCTGAGCTTTAGGTTTACTGGTCTTAAAGATAATAAAGTACCTAATGGGATCCACAGGCATTTTCTCTTCCCCCCTCCCCCTAGAGAGGAGGGAGGGGGAAAGGGACCTTCCCCCCTCCCCCTAGAGAGGAGGGAGGGGGAAAGGGACCTTTCCCCCTCCGTGAAAACCTCCAGGCCAGAAGGGGTGGGAGACAAGCTGAGGCCAAGCCCGGCCCTTCCTTATTCCCTCAGGCTGGAGCACAAGAAGCAGCATCTTAACCTTTTCCAGCTCCCCAAGGAGAACATCCTAGAAGTGTGGTCTCCGCCAAGGGTTCTAAAGCCTTTCATTTGATTTCCCTCACATAGGCAATTGTTGTAATTATTCTGATTAGGAATCATTACCCAGCGCAGCCTCTGCACCCCTGACAGGCACAATGCATCCAGCGGCAGGCTGCAGTGGGGCAGGCGGGCCCAGCGCACCTCCTGGAGGAGCCGACAGCAAACAAAAGCCATCGATGGGGAGTTCTGGGTGAGTTAATGAAGCGCTCACATGCCACAGGCAGCCAACACTAAAGCTAAACAAAAACACCTTCAGTCCCTAGGGCTAGTCCTGTGGTCCCACGCTCGGCCCCCCTCTTCCACGACCCACCCAGCACCGGCTGCCCGCGCTGTCCAGCCCAGGGCCAGGGGCCAGGAGGGGGCGGGGGCCCTGTGTGGAACTCGGGGCAGCACTGGACATCTTGCCAGTAACCCTGACGGGAACAGCTGGAGATGACAGATCAATGGTTCAATACTCTCAACAGCATGTCACCGATGTGACAGCAAATGTTATTCTAATCAAGCCATAATCATAGTCAAATTACACGACTACATTCTCAGGAGGGGAGGGAGAGAAAGGCAGCGGGGAAAGGGTCAGAGGTCAGGAATTAAAGGTCACTCAACCTACCTCCAGCACTTGCTGCAGGCTCGGCTGACCATCCACCATGCCTTGAATAATCCCGGTGAGCTGAAAGGAAAGAGAAATAGCCAATAGGTGGAACTGCAGGGTACAGGGTCTCAAAGCCAGACAGGATCCTTTCCTTTCTCCTTCTATCATAAAAGACTCTGGCCTGCAATGCTTTTGGCTCAGAACCTGCCAGAAGCCTTGGGAATGAAGTCCTAGGACATAAGGTGAACTTTCTCCACAACATCCTGCCCCAAGAGGGGGAAACACATCTACATGCTGACCAAAGGGTGTGTTTCATACCCATCTCAGCTTTCACTTTGAAAAGAAAAGGAAAAAAAAAAAAAAGATTTTATGTGTCTTGTATTCAATAGGCTCAGTAAATCCCTACAAATTATGATCTAAAGTAAATTCACATCCCAGCTTCACAGAAGTTCCTGTAGACCTTGAGGAATGCTCACATAGGACAGCAACACTTGGTTATCAAGTCTGGGTCTCGATGTCCAGCATTTCCCCATCTAACACCAAAGAAGAGCCAGGGGAACCCCACAGGCATCCACCCTTTACCCTGAATACCTGGGTCCTCAATACCAACTAGGCAAGCAAGAAATAGACACCTTTTTTTTTTTTTTTTAAGATTTTATTTATTTATTTGACGGAGAGAGAGAGAGCACCCGTAGGCAGAGTGGCAGGCAGAGGGAGAGGGAGAAGCAGGCTCTCCGTTAAGCAGGGAGCCAGACGTGGCTAGATCCCAGGACCCTAGGATCATGACCTGAGCTGAAGGCAGACGCTTAACGACTGAGCCCCAGGCACCCCAAGAAACAGACACCTTTAACTGATTGGGAAACTCAAGACGGAAAGGCCTAATAAAGGAACCTGGTCTAGAGAATTTCTGACTCACAGGCCTATGCTCACCCAGGTCAGGCCTAGGTTCAAACAAGCTTGTTGCTTTGCTTTGCTTTGTTTTGAAGTGAAAATATCCCTTGAATACAGACTAGGACAGACTGCCTCAGGGACCTGAGGCAGGAGGCCCCTATCCACAGACGTGGACCCAGCTGGAAATCACCATGCCCAATGTGCCCCTGGCTACTCGTACAGAGAGCAGCAGCTCAGGCTTGCTGGGGAACTTCTTTTTTTTGTGTTGGGGGGGGAATTAAACTCCAATTAAACTATAATTACATTTAATGAATATCAAATACCCAGCTCACAGGAACTGCCGGCTCTAAGAGGGAAGGTTAGTTTCTCATAGAGACTTACATGGAATGGTAATACACACCTTTTAGGGAAGAAATTTTCATTTTAAGAACGCTGAGTTCCTCTAGGTGGGTTTCTGTAGTTCATCAAGTCATTATTAGGTGGTATTTTAAGGAAGTGTAAGGACACAGCCACTCTATTTTATATTCCAGAAACTGTTTTTATATTAATCTGTATTTTAATTGGGTAACAGCTGCTGCCTACAGACTTCCCATGGTCTAAAAGGAAAATAAATTAGAAAGATTAACTATACTGTTGTTTCACAAGGCTTTAACCCACAGCATGCCCACCCGGCTGGCACCTCCACACCCTTTCCTTGCTTGGGAGACCAAAGAACTGCCCAGCAGAGGGAGGGCCTGAGCCAAAGAGAAAAAAAGTTGGTCCACTGAGGGCTAGGGGTGGGGCTGGGGGGTGAGGGGTGAGGAAGAGCTCTGGGTCAGTGGCTTTAATCTTAAGAGTGCTAAGACTCCTCTTTTTATTTAGTCAACAACTATTCATGGACAGCCTACAATGTACTGGGCCCCATTCCAGGAACTAGGGATCCAGCTGTGAGGAAAAACATGAAATCCCTGCCCTCCTGGAATCAGCATTCTTCTTGGCAGCCCCCTCTATGCCCAGCCCAGCCAGCATACAAAGCCTGTACACCTTCCAGAGCCACACCCTGAGCAGGCAGTTGCCCTGTGTTTTGTCTCAGGCACAGAGGGGCCAGAGTCCAGAGTAGGCTTGTTGCTGACTCCAGGTGCAACACCCAGATGACTGACGAGCACCCATGCACCCACCCCTGCCCTTCCTGGCCCCACTTCTCTCCTGCTTCATTCTTCCAGGGCCAAGCCATACCCCCAAGCTTGGAGCTGGGGCTCAGGGTCAGGACTATCCTGGAAAACCTATAGCCACCCTTACTTCTTGGAAAAGCTCTGGGGTCTGTGTGCCAGTCTCATGTCTTGTCTGAGTCTTCTGGGGCAAGGGTAGGTCTACCACTTCTCTTGACTCCTACACCAAGGGTCACTGAGATGAGATGAACACTGAAGGGCTTCCAGAACGGCTCACTCACAGAAGAAACCAATGGCACCCTTGTCAAGAGACCTCCCTCCTTGGAGATGGGACTTTCCAGCATCTATGTACTCCACAAGCACCTGCTCTGGGCCCAGGAAAATCACTCATGTGCAGAGAGAAAGTCACTGCACTAAAAAGGAAAACCAGGGCACTGCTCTGCACGATCTCTCACTACAGACTAGGGCCCACCTTTTCCACCCTGGTGGTAGGGCTCCAGGGTCCTGGGGCTTTCTCACACTCCTGTCCAGTGGTCAGCAATCCTAGAATCATCAGCCTGGGAGGAGCCTAGTGAGCCCAGCTCTCTCTCTCTCCAGGCTTCCCAGATCACTTGTGGTTCAGCAAGACACGGCTTACAGCTGAGCTCCTAAAGGGCTTGAACTCAACCCCCAGAGACACGAGGGCTTGAACTATTGGTTCGGCTAGAGGCATCGTTCCAGGGGGAGGACTCACTCCCCTGTATGAATCCTTCCAAGGATGGACTACATCTTATCAGCTCCACCAAGGCACTAGATGAAGAGTGTGAAATTAAGAAATTAGTCCCTGTACCTGATACTGACAACCTAGAAGACATCTCTAAGACTTAAATCAGAAGCCATGAAGGAGAGAGCTAATTTAATAAAATAAATACTGGAAAGTTCTACCTTAGGACTAACTTAAATCCTTCATGCTGCAGTTTAAACCCAATCCCACTTGGGTTAATATATATTTGTAAAAAGCTTTCACATCCTCACAATGAAAGGTACTAGAGGAAAGCCAAGTATTATTAAGCTGAGAACCAGGGCTCACAGGCTAAACAGAGCTCAAAGACCTTAACCACTTAAAGCTGGAGAGGTGAGAGGAAGAATTAATGTGTGCTCTGTGGCTCCTTTCACCGAGGGATTACAGATTAACTCCCGCTTCTCCAGACTCGGAAACCACAAGGCGAGGGGCTTTTGACCCTGACTGATAACATGACTGGTTACTGAGATCCCCTACCCACACAGCGGCTTTGTCCAGGAATGAGCTGGCTTCATCATAAACACTAGCAACTACAGGAAGCAGCCCAGGACACTCAATGCCAATAGCATGTCAGCATCCAGTGCTTTCTCCTTTCACAGTTTATCTCCAACACAATCGTATTCTGACACCAAGACAGTTTGTTGATTACATAAGCACTTGTCTCTGGTGTGCAATCTGATAATCAGACCCACTCTTTCTCCTCAGACAAAGAGACCAATAAATCTCACTCTTTATAAGTACAGGTGCAAGACAAAAAGCCCTTTACTGGCATTTAGCAAAATTGGTATTTTTTCTAGTTTTTTCAAGACAATGACAACAACAACAACAAAAAAAACTGCACATGGTCAGGAACTGTGCAGTAGCCCAGCTGCTAGATGCAGAGATCTGACGGGCTGGAGCAGATTCTAGAGGTGGTAGGGAAAGGGCTTGGGAAGGAATGAAACTTATCCCATCCTATCTCTGTCAGAAACAAGTCTCCAGGCAGACTATCACCTGGAACGAAGAAAGGATCTCAAGAAGGCTACTTCTTGAGAGTGTCTATATGTGGGCTACAGACCCACTCAAGGCAGCATTCCTCTTCTTGCTGCCCAGCACTGAGCCTGTCTCTCCCCTCCAAAAGCATGTACTCATATGTGTACTCATGTGTCATGATGTGTGCACACACACACACAGGCCAGGGTTCTTAAGAACTTCTTGTGCACAAGAGAAAATCCTACTACAGGAGATGCTCAGGCACAATCCAGAGGTGCTGGGTTGTTCCTCACACCTACTAAGGAAAGATTCTCTCTGACTGTGATGATCTCTATCTCTACCCCAAAGGCAGCCACTGCCACACTGGACAAGGTCCCACAATGATGGCCCCCATTCCGTGTCCATGCCTCTCTCTATATTACAACTCCATCTGGTATGGAAGCAGAGCAATATTTAGATGATCTGAGGTCTTCCAAAGAAGACTTCACTTACTCGAAAGAACGAGTTAGCAGGACAGTTACTTCGGGGCAGCAGCGGGGCGGCGGGCAGCAAGGTGTGGTTGACTGCTCTTTGAAAATATTCATTCATTTAAGGAACACATGTTAAGTGTTTACTTGGCACCAGACCCTAATGATGGGCCAGAGATGGATCAGACCCAGGTTCTGCCCTCAAGGAACTCATTCACGGTCTAGTGAGACACATAAGTAAATAAAGTACAATGCATCTGATCAGCGCTTTGGGTGGTGGGACCAGCCATGGGCTTGGGGAAGGCTCCCCAGAGAAGGTGACCCTGAGAAAAGTCCTAGAGGACAAGTAGGGGCAGGGGAGGAGAGTGGGAGCCGCATACAGGCAAGAGCATCGTGTGCACAGGCAGACTGTGAGGCAGCAACCTTAGGTGAGGGAAGTGAGGGGGCATGAAGCAGGGAGATGTGAGGTTGGATAAAATGGCCAGGACCAGGTCAGGGAGAGTTGGAGGCTCTGGAAGCCTGAGGTGAAATGGCACCCTCAGTGCCACAGCTCAGTCACATCTTCACTTTCAGATAAGGCTTCCAGACAAGGGTCCCAACCCCACTGTGCCTCCTGCCCTCCAAATTATGTATGTGTGTCCAGGGGTGGAACTTTCTAAAAAAGGAAAAATAGCTCTCATCATAGTCTCACAATCCCTCCTCCCTTACCCCCAAAAAGAAACAGCAGCAGCCCTGATCTCTTTTCCCAATACTCTCAAGAACCCACTCCTGCCCAGGGCTGAGCTCCAACAGCACTGTTCCATGCCTAAAGAACTAGTAACCTTTCCCAAATTTGGGTCTGCCCAGCTGCACCAGGCAGCCTAGCTGCAGCTGGAGCTCCCAGGGGAGAATCTGCACACAGAGAGGAAGACGAGGACGAGAAGATACTGCATTTTCAGGCCAGTGGAGGCTCAGGTAACTAGCTGGCTTAAGGAAAATCTTCCCTTTCCATAAGGAAGGGGATTTTCACCATTAAAATGGTGATTTTTTTCAAAATGGGCAAAAAGAACAGATTAGCGCCCCCTGGTGGTATAGGTAATTTCCAGGGGCAAGGGGGAAAAAACATAGATCCCAGAGGGAGCAAGAATCTCAACACCATTAGTGGGAACAACAAAGGGGCTGAGAGACTACACGCTTTGGCAGATGGATGCCTGCATTAAAGGCCTCCCTGGGTTGGGCAGGAAACACTGGCATCAAGCCCAGTAGCGACCCCTGAAACTTCATATCTGGGCTAAGTCAGCCTCAGAGCCCATGGGGCCCTCCCACCAGTGGCAGGCAGGCCCTTTCCCAGCATTCCCCACACCAAGACAATGGTTTGGGGGATCACTCAAGAACTTCCTTCCTCATGTTTCACTCATATGAAGAATGTAGATCGCTAAACAAAGGCACAATATCTCGAATGTACCCCAGCCCCAAATTCTTAAGAAGATTCCAGAAACACTCACGTTTTCCCATTACTTCTGCTACCACACATACTTGGCCCGTGATTCCACCACAGCGCCTGGCTACCACAGAGTGCATAACATGACACGTCACAGGGGAAAGCAGTCACAGAAGGCCTCGAGAGTAAGAACTCTTCAGGGGCACCTCCTCTCTGCTACTAGTTCTTCTGAGCCTCTAGCAAGCATCAAGATCTCAGCCCAATTTCACAATCTGCAAAATGGGGCCAATACTAACCCGCTGGCAAGGTGACCGAGTACAACACCGGCACGGGATAAGGATAAAGACATTTCAGCCTCATATCCCACTTGGATTGCTCTTCTCGTTCCTCAATGACAGGGTCGTGCTTCCCACAAACTCAACCAATGCTTCACGCAGGGCCACTTTGCTCAAGGACAGAAAAACATCACCAGAAGCTAAGAAAGCCTGAACATAACCTCTCCTTCCAAGAAGCTGAAATCTTTACCTCTTCTCAAGAGGTGCCAAGGGAAATGGAACTGAAAAGTAGCTGAACCCCGGCAGTACCACCCTGGAGTGGTAAAGCACTCCAAGTGCCTGGTCACCAGGACGGGTAGGGATGATAAGGGAGAGAAAAGGTTGGGGAAACTGGGACAGATGGTGCCACTTCTCCTTGGGTCCCCAGTGACCACAGCGGTGCAAGCGGAGTGGCAGACTTTGTAAAAAGCCAACTGCTGGCTGGGTCCAATGTGCACCTGCCTTACCCACTAACAAGGCTCCAGCTGCCCCTAAAGCAGCATGTATAGTGCACCAGTGACCCAAAAGCTCCTGTCCCAGCAGCCCGTGCTGCCCTGCTCCAGGGCCCTTACCTCTGTACAGAAGGGAGTAAGCTGCGGATGGACTACAGGCTGGACATACATGTGAAAGGTAGACTCAATCTCCATGGTCCGACCATTTAGCTTCAGGATGGGGAACTCGATGATTTCCTGGAATGGCAAAGACACAGAAAAAGAAGAATACATTTTTTTAACCAAACATTACAAGAAAGAGTCAAGAATGAGGGACCGTTTTGGATTCATTAGCTCCTGCCAGGCCAGACCCAAGACTGAGTGAGATGGTGCCAGCTCAGTTCCAATCCTAACCTTCCCACTGTTACTACCCTTACAGGTGGCAGGGACTAGACACACACCCCACCCCCACTGTCTCTGGAAAGGGGAAAGAAGACAGTAGTACAAGCTGCCCCAGTTTCCCCAACTGCTTCTCTGCCAGAGGCCTGTTCACTGGAGCCCATAAGAGTAGCCCCACCCTGTCCCCTTGCCCAGGCCTCTGCCCTGGATGGGCCTGGATCTCCAGTCACCTAGACAACCAGCCATAAGACCAATCACAGCCTTCTGCATTTGAAGTTTAAGCAGAACCAATGAGTTTCTTCATTCGTTCTTAAAAAAAAAAAAAAAAGATAAATAATAAATAAAGCCAAAGGGGATATAAAGAGAAAAAGAAAACTGAGTAAGAGTAATAGGAGCTGGTGCCTCCCACCTTTCTTTCAGGCAGTACACCCTCCCCCACCCTCTCCCCCCCAATCACTTAGCCAGCCCTTCCCAGTCCACTGGAACGTAATGGAAGAGAAGGAGGAGGAGTGACAATTTGTTTGGTGTCTCTAAGATTAATTTGTCTCCGTTATTTAATAGAGATGCACAGCACCAAGGTCCTGGTGTGCAAACAGGCTTACAGAACGCTGGCTGTGCAGCGCGCCTCCTACATCGCTCCTGGGAAGGGAGGAATGCACCAGAGGCGGGAGAGGGCAGGAGAGCACACGCGCATCAGAGAGAAAAGGGAAAGCAAGGAGAGAGAATAAAAAAAATTATTGCTTTTTAATATTCAAAAACAGTTTGCAAAATTTAATCAAAGCAGAGGAAAAGCTAACATTTTTACCACTTTGACATTTTTATTAGCGCTTTCATAAATTTTTAAAACATGAATGGAATTAGTTTACAACACAAAAAAAAACTGCCCTGAAAACATCTGGAAGAGACAAATAGGAAATAATAAAAAAAATAAATAAAAGCAAAATCCTCCGAGTAAAATTAGCATGTGGAAAAGGCCTCCACTGCAGAGAGCGAAGGGGGGCTTGGCCCACTCCGTGGCCCCAGTAGTCAGCTCCAGCAGCATCCCTACCCCAGGTCCCCGGTTCTGGAGGGGACCTTTCTAGTATCACTAAAATCAAGGCAAACTGGTTCTCTCCAGGGACAGTGTGGAGGAGCAGCACGGAAGCTGCTGACACCTGACCGCGTGCAGGACATGGACGCGTGGGAAGACAGGACAAATGGCCAATCTCCTCAATGTCCCAGGGCAGCCAGGTAGCCTCTCCCTCAAACACACCTGTGACTATCGGGCTTGTTTTTAAAGCATCTATTTTTATCCAACACATTACAGCAGAACTGAAGACCAAATCAAGGCAGTCAGATTTCATGACCGAAAAATCCAAAGGTTCTGCTTGCCTGGTCTCCCCAGCTGATCCCCCAAAATGGGGACACTGACAGGAGCCCCCTGAGATAGGAAGGGCAACAAGGCTGAGGCAGAGGGGCCAGGGCAAGGAGGTCGCAGCTTTGCTTAAATTAGGTGACACCTTTCCTCCCAACTTGAAGAGATGGGGGTACTTATCCCCCAAATCCCTGGGCCTCTCTCACTCCTCACAAAGCACTCCTTTGCAGACCTGGTAGAGGACAGTTTTGTGCTGAAAAATAAAATGGAGGCACACATACACACAAAATACATTATCGGTCCCCCTGAAAAAAACAGATGTCCAAGATTTCCAAACACTAACTCTGAAGTGGGGCTCATCGGATACCTGAATTTCTGATGTATCCTGCTTCTCCCACTATGGAGAAGCAGCATTTCCCCAGTAGGAGCTCCACAGCCTGGTTAGTTTGGCTGCCCTGGTGTCTAAAGAAACAAATACAGCCAGTTCCTCACTAACAATGTTAGCTGGGCCCACAATGAAATTTAACCTGTGACACAACTGTACTTTTCATTTAAACTTTCATTTGGAGAGAAGCAGTGTTTGGAGACCTGCAGTTTGTCCTGCTAATAAAGACAAGTGTTGGGACCTTTAAGGATGCCATTCATCTCTGGCTTTTATTAAATTCAATTTTCCTAAGCCTATGATACATTATGAAATTAGGAGTTGACATTCCTCTGGAAACAAAAATATCTATCAAACATAAATAGAAAAAAAGCCCTCTATTACCAAGAATTTATGGCTTAAAGTTGATCTCTTTCCACTTTTTTACAAGCACATGGTTTGTTTTAGATATCTGAAATGTTATTATAGATCTAGAATTTCATTAGTATTTATTATAAAATAGTAAGCGCTTCAGCTCCTGTTCTGACCAGCACCAAGTCGGCATCCCCAGTAGATTCTCTGAAAACTTGGCCTTTGGGTTTCCCTACTGCAGCTTGCTCTTCAAGCTCTCCTGCTGCTGGCTTCCTCACCCCTAGGGAAATGGAGCCAACCTCTGCTCACACTCAGTAGCACCCTCCCAGAGAGGAATAAGCAAGCCTCAGCTCTAAGCAAAAAGACGGGGGGAGATCCCCAAGAGGCCTGGGGGCCAGGGACACAGTGGATTGGACCTATCATAAATATACCTCTCCAGAGTCACTGGCCCGTCAGCCAGGCCTTCTCCCCAAGACCAACAAGCGGGACTTTCAATAGCCAATCTTAGAACATGACTTTGCATGGGCCCCTTCTCAGCACCATCAGCAGCTGTTGTAACAATGACCTTGCACACTGGCATACTCATTTAAGCCAATGAGGATGCAAAACAGGAGTTTCTGATAGAAGACCCTCTGGGGAGTCAGAGCACAAAGGATTTCACTTAGGTACTTCTTACCTTCCCGTATTACCCAATCAAGCCCAGAACCTCAAAATCCTGGCCCCAACAGCCCAATCATGGGAGAGGAACCCTAATCTCTACCAAGGGGGCATGACTCTGCAGCCAGTGCACCCGGAGCAGGCCAAACACTTCAACAGTTTTCGGCTCATAAGGATCGCAATGGTAACACCAAAGTTACACGTTGATCACATTAATTCCAACCCAGGAGCTTAGGAAGATGTGCCTACGTGCTAGCTTCTGAGGGCAGTCACTCCGATAATGAAACTGTTATTCCTGCCTCTCCTCCTTTTCCTTCCCTCAATCTCCTCATTCCCCTGGGAAGAGGGAAGTTTTTAGGAGTAGTTGAGTGTCTGCTTGTGCAGAGGTAGCACCAGGAATGAAAGAAGAACCAGTGTGTGTTCACCAGCCCTCTCTTCCTGCCCTAAGAACAGTTTCCCAATTCCTTACATCTGTATGTCATTCACGTTCAATTAAACTACCTGAGCAGCATCTACTGGGTGCAGGGCACTGTACCAGTGTTAGAGTGGGATTTAGAAAGATGTAGCCTCTGCTTTAGGGAAGTGCACAGACTAGTGAGCAGAGAAGATACTGAACAAATAATGAACAATGCACTATGATAAATTCTTAGTGGAGGGACATACTGAGTGTTAGGACTTTCAACTTATAGTGTGCTTGCAAATACATTTTCTTATCTTACCCTTATTAATCCTGGAAGATAGGTCATATCAGCAGCAGCAGCAGCAGCTCATAAACCAACACTATGAAGTACCTACTATTTACCAGGCAGGGGCTGGGTGTGGAGGCAGAGACAAATACAATGAGATGTGGCTCCTGTGTCTGAGTCTGGACAAAGGGTAGAGAGGAGCTGGCCCTGACACCCTTGGGGACACATGGAAAATGGAATCATTTCATTCCTTCCATTTGTTGTTTACTACGTGGCAGACAGTCTGCTAGATGCTTAACAGGAACAACCTCATTGAAGCCTCCTAACAACTCAGGAGGTGGGAATTGCTATGATCCTTATTTTACAGATAAACTAAGGCCCTAAAAGAAGCGGTCACTTGCTCAAGGTTACATCCTTGTGAGGGGCAAAGCTGGGACTCCAAATGGGGAAAAGAGACTTAAAGAGAACAGCTTTCAAAATATGACGGGTCAAGAGCTGATTCTTCCAGACTGACAGGCTGTCTTTAGGAAGCTCGGTCTGCTGTGTCCTAGGAAGAGAGACTGCTCTCGAGTTACAAGAGCAATGAATGCAGCCTACCCGGGCAGAAAGTCCTGGAGGACCATTGCCACACAGGCTCCACTGCAGCTGCAGTGACACAGATGGCGCTTTGCCCTGAGCTCGGGGATGGTGGGAGCCTTAGGTTTGCATCTCCAGCACCCAGCTTTGTCCTCGCATGTAGACTGCGCTCTCTGCGCTTCTGGTGAGTAACATTTGAGGGGGCCAATAAAGGGCAAGGTAGAAGCCAAGCACATGGCTCTAAGAGAAACATCTCTGTTTTTACAGAGCTCTCCACAGGTCAGGGAGGTGAAGGTGACAAACAGGGTAAAGGTGGTGGTGGAGCCAGGATTCAAACCCAGACATAGAACACCGCAAAGCACTTTCTGTCTCTCATGTTTAAGTGCTTTCTCGTCCTCCCCCAACTGCTGCAAACCACCAACATCCCAGTTTTTTGTCTGTCCAGACCAAGGGTTTCCTGAAACGTAGAACTTTCAGAGCTAAAACTGGGACAGCTGGTCAACCTACACTGTCCACAAGCTACCTGCACCACTAGATTGTCCAAGGATAGAGCATAATAGTCCCCAAAAGTTGGTCTGCTGATGGTGGATAGGATCTAGCCACAATTTGACAACTCAGGACAAAAGCCTCAGAACTTGGATTGTTCAAAGTATCCAGGGTTCCAAATCTACCGTGTCTCCCTCAATAAAATGTCAGCAGCAAACCTTTGTTTTTTTCAGGGGAGGGAAGACAGATAAAAAGGAAGCACCAAGTAAATATTCTTTTACCTTTTTAAGTGAGCAGAGGTATAAGTTGGAGCAAAGGTTTTAGACATAGCTGCTTTTGCTCAACGAGGAACACCAGAGATTATCTT